TATGCTACAGCAAACGAGAAACGCCCTCGGCTGGTCCACCTCTGCGATTGCAACTGAGTAGCTTTCGTACTGTGGACTGGTAGCTCGGCGGGGATACGCCCACTGAAGGGAGGTGACAGCTCCCGTAAGGTGGAGGTAAGTTGTGCCTCGCGTAGGCCCTATCCTGTCGTAGGGGCTGGCGAGAGGTATGGCTGGCGCACTCGGCCGGAGCGGCCTAAGGAAGCTCCATTTGTGTGTTCGTGACGAGGTTGGTCCAACTCCTGCGTGACGCGGCCGAGAGGGTCCCGCGCTGCCGCGTGCGGTGCCGGACCGATGCGCTCGACAACGGTCCTACATCTCTGAGAAGGCAATTCGAAAGTTGCATCTAGGGATGAGAATGCGGGACTTACCAAGACCTATCACGTCTATGCTAGTCGATCAAAGCAACATAATTGTGTCTCAGTATGTTGACCACAATTGTTATTTTCGTAAGCGGGTAGGTAAGTGAATATTGCATGAGGTAACCTTCCTAGTCGAAAAGAACTTGCTGTTTGACTTGATTCTGGGCATGGATTGGCACGAGGAAGCCGACCCAAAAGTCAAGCTCGAAGATAAGATTGTCAAATTAAGAGATGAAAAAATTGAAATCAAATCAATTAAGTTTCCTAAGTCTGGTTTTGACTTATCAGTGTCGTTCTGTTGTATGAGTCGTCTGGCTTTCGAAGCATGGTCATGAAAAATAAGTTGGTACATGATGTAATGATGGTACTCGTTAAGAACATGGGTGAGTGCTCTTCGTCCTATCCTCCTCTTGAAAAACTTCTCGATGAATATAAGGACTTGCAGTTCGAACCGATGAGAGTAACTGAGTGTGATATCAAGCACACCATTGAAATTATTATCGGAAGTAAAATTCCCAAAGGACCGATGTATTGTATGTCTTCGAGGGGATTAGAAGATTTAAAAAAATAAGTGAAGGAACTTACCGTGAAAGGATGAATTAGACCAAGTTCCTCTCCCTACGATGCACCTATACTTTTTGTGCCCAAAACGGAAGGAGAACTATCGATTACCGGGGATTGAATTCCGTAACTTTAAAGCACGGGGAAACCCCTTCCTTGAATCGATGACCTTCTTGATCAATTGCAGGGTTGAGAGTATTTTAGCAAGATTGATATGAAGTCCGATTACCGCCAGATCGGGGTGGCACCTGAAGATCAACACAAGACGGCGTTCCGAACTAGGTATGGGCACTATGAATTTGTGGTGATGTCGTTCGGCCTAACTAACACGCCAACAACCTTCCAACGATCCTTGAATGAACTGTCTCGACAATGGTTGGACCAATTCGTAGTTGTGTATCCTAACGACATCCTCATCATCTATAGCAAGACTTTGGAGGGTCATGAAAAACACCTGAGAATGGTTCTACAAAAACTAAAAGAAGGCAACTACAAAGTGAACTCTAAGAAGTCAAAATTTGCTAGGTCTGTGGTACTTTGTATGAAGAAGGACCAAGGCCTGAAGAAAAGAAAATTACAGCAATTAGGGATTGGCCCAGACCTAAGATGATCACTGAGTTGTGATCCTTTCTAGGACTTGCTAGCTACTATAGGAAGTTTGTAAGGAACTTTTCCCTTATAGATGCGTTGAATCCGTTGATGAGAAGATTGCTAAAGAAAGAAAAATCTTGGTTATGGGACAAAGATTGCGAATCGGCGTTCAAGAAACTCAAGTATGCGCTAACTCACTACCCTGTCCTTAAAATTGCTGATCCGTCTCTACCTTTCGTTGTCACTACGGACGCGAGTCAGTATGGGATTGGGGTCGTGCTACATCAGGATGATGGAAAACCGTCAGAAAAAGGAGTTAAATCCACCTATGAAAGAGAGTTGTATGCCTTAGTTAAAGCACTAGACACCTGAAAGCACTACTTTCTCGGAAGATACTTCACGGCTTACTCTGATCGCTCGACCCTGAAGCGGATCAAGATACAACCCCGGTTATCTCACAAGTTGGTAAGATGGCTTGCATTTATTTTCAATTGAAAACCATAAAAGGAAAGTCTAATGTTGTCGTTGATGCCTTGTCCAGACACTCTGATTTCTTTTGCACTATTGTTACCTACCTAGAGATTGGGATTGAGTTAAGAGATCAGATTTGACAGCGGTATGTTGGGGATCGAATTCGGAGTCCAATCATTCTGACCCTTTAGAAGAATCATGATCCCTTTCCTGATTATCGCATGTCTGATAATATGCTCTTCTTTATTGACAATACCAAAGAAAGAGTCTGCATTCCTCACAAAGAAGAAATTAAAGGTCTGATTATTGGGGAGTGTCATGATGCTGAGGGTCAGTTCGGATTTAAGAAGACGTTTGCTAACGCACGTTAGTTTTTTGAATGGCAAGGAAGGAAGGAAGATATACTAACCTATGTGAGAACTTGTCTTGTTTGTCAGAGAAACAAGCTATCTCATGAGAATCCATTGGGACTGCTCAGAGCGCTCCCTATTCCAAGTGATCCAGTTAAGTCCATTGCCAATTACTTCATGGGTATCACAAAGAGTTGGAATGGGAACACACAATGCTCATTCCTTTACCACCTGAAGCCAGAATGAAACTCATGATCCAGAAGTTCTAGATGTGATGGGTTTGAGTACGGATTTTCGAAAACCATCATGTGTGATAGGGATGTACAGTTCACAGGCCAGCAGTGGCAAAAACTGATGGAAGACTATGGCACAAGGTTGACCTTGTCGTCAGGTAGACACCCTGAAACGAATGGGCAAATTGAACAAATGAATCGGCTGTGCCAACAACTTTTGAGCATGTATGTTCGGCTAGACCAAATCGATTGGGATATGAACTTACCCAAGATTGCAAGTGCATATAACAGTAGTGTTACACTATTACAGGTATGACACCTAACACATTGCATAAAGGTTGGAAGCTGAGACGCCCTATTGATGCTTTGACCTGGGAACAAGTCCAACGGCTACCCCTAGGTATGAGAGAATTTGCAATTTTGTATAAACAAGATATTGCTAAAGTAAGGGAGAATATAAAGAAAGCCCAAGTCCAAATGATTGAGCACGCAAACAAACATCGTCGACCAGCTCGGTTCAAAGAAGGAGACTTGGTATGGGTAAAATCCAATGAATTATCCCTTGAAGAAGGTGTATCTCCAAAATTGTTGCCTGTCTATTATGGACCCTGGGAAGTTCTCAAGGTGATAGGGGATACGGACGGGCCCTCATATCGCATAGATGTACCCCCGCACCTAAAGACATATCCCGTCTTCCACGTGTCTACCCTACGTCGAAGGTCACGAATTTCCAAACAGACCGTCTTTGTTTCCTCCTTCAATGAATGGTGGGTATAAAGTTGAAAGAATCATTGACCACGTTTTTTTCTCAGCAGGGAGACCGGAGAAGAAGAATAAGGTAATTTTTCGAGCCAGCTTGGATCAGAGGCATGCTGGTTTAGTAAGAAAGAGTTACTAACTATTGCACCTGACATTGCCGCAGTGTATGAGCGTGGGTTAAAAGAAAGCCGAGCCTAAAAAGAAGCTTATTTCTTCGATGGAACTTGAAAATTGGGCAGGATGGAATGCAATAACTCAGCTCAAATTTGCATTAGTCGTGGGCTGTAGGTCGTCACTTTTGGTCAAAGGCCCGAAACAGGGGTCAAAAGTCACGCCCTCCTAAGTCTTGGTAAGGCTTGGACAAAGGCTTGATGTCAAGGGGTACCCAGGGCAAGGTCGAAACTGGCCTTCAGAGGCCCTACGTGCAACAGTTGACCTTGGGAAAGTCACCGGTCAACCCCAGGACGGGAATCTTGGCCCAGACGTCAAAGTCAACCTGCTGGTCAGCCTCGGCTGTAGATTGGATGCACATCATTGGTTGTTTGCAGGTGTCCAGAAGAATCTGGTCCAAGTGGGACACATGGGGAATCTGCAACTCTACGACATCCAGGCCATTGGCTGCCGACAGATCTGGGCCGTCATACCCAGGAGACCAGAGGATGGTCAACGTGAGTCGACACTATAAGTTGGCCCGACCCTTGCTTGAGATCATCGAGTCTTGTGCATTCTGCTTGACGCTGGCTTGATGCTAGTGCGACGATGCGAGACTACCGGACCTTTATGGTGGCACCATTTCTTTGTATATGGGCACCAGCCTTGTGGGTGATTATGCTGGCGTGGCCATTACCACATTAACTGTGACATTGACAGGAGAGAGGGCGAGGAGGGGGATCTCTCTCTCTCACACACACACACACATCGAAATGTGTGTCTTTGTGTGTGTGTGTGTGTGTGTGTGTGAGAGAGAGAGAGAGAGAGAGAGAGAGAGAGAGAGAGAGAGAGAGTTATCCAGCCATGCACGCAGAGAGATAGAGAGGCTACTTCCATCGATAGGATGAGCAAAATCGGAATGAATCAGACGCACACGCACACGCGCTCGTGTAGTAGTGTATATTTCGATGTTCTAGCGGTAGATTCATTCGATTTTGCTCATCCTATCGATGGAAGTACCCTCTCTCTCTCTCTCTCTCTCTCTCTCTCTCTCTCTCTCTCTCTCTCTCTCTCCCCCCGCCCCTCGATGGAGTCCCCGTTTTTTTGGGGGGGGGGCAGCGGGGGGGGGGTAATTTTCCAAATACCCCCATAAGTTGAGGTATATGTCAAGATGGCCCTAAAAGATATGGGCACAGTGGAATGGCCTTTTGGGCTGACATGTTTGTGTTACGCCCCTGTCAGGTGGGTGTGCAAATTCGCCTGGCCTTTTGCAATTGCACCTACGAGAACTTGGCAACTGCCGCCGCATTTTGCAAAGTTGGGCAGCGTCTGCAAAGACGGGGTCCAACTGATGGCTGGGGTGTTTCGCAAAATGTTTTTGTCATCGGCCTAGCTGCGGCAGGTCCACTTGTTATTAAATAATTTTGTATTAATTCTAATAATTCATCTATAGTACTTGGCTAATTACTGATGTTGGTGGTGGTGATTACTTTTTGTGTGAACAGGGCATCTATCAGTCACAGGGTCGTCTTGAGAGTAAGATGAAGTTCATGCCTTCCAGTCTGTCCAGCAAGTCACATAAGCTGTTGACTGTGCTGGTGGACTCGCGGCACAAGAAGGTCAACAAAGTGAAGACGGTTGTCACAAATGTCGATCCAGAAAAGGACATGCAAGAAAAAGTGAAGGTGCGGCTGGTGGCATCTCCCTCTCCCGCTCCCTCTCCCTCTCCCTCCTGAGGAGAGAGACGGTTAATAGTCTCTGTTCTTGGAGTACAGCCGTTAACTCACGGCAACAACCAACATGCATACCTGCACGCATGCACATCCGCACAGACACTCTCTTCATGTCTCTTGATTTTTTCCTTATGTTATCTCGCTCCTCTCCCATCGCTTCCCTTTCTTTCTTCCTGCTATCGCACTCCCCTCTTGAGTCCTTTTTATTTTTTTAATGAAGTGAGGATCGAAATCACGATGTTCAGCGAGTCCAGTTTTTTTTTCATTGCAGTGAGGATCGAAATCACGATGTTCAGCCTTTACAATGCAGATCCCAAATCCGAATTTCAGGGTAAAGTCCCCAAGCCTGAATAGGCCCAGACAGTCGAAATTGAAAAGTAGTCACGTCGGGTACCACGTGTGCCATGCTGCCGTGAGATCTGGCCAACTGATATTCATATGCAGCTCGGAGACGACGACCTTGTGCGTGTACAAGATGTTGTTGAGCCATGCTTGACACACACCACCCGACCGGTGATGCCGGTTGGGGTTGCGCACATTGTACATGTCCAAGCGCAAATCGAATTTTGCCGAGGTCAAACTGAAAAGGTGCCCGATGACCAGTCAGGTCCTACAGTCCAAAAATGCAGCAGCATCCAAAGAAAAGTCTGGAAGGTACCGTCCCAGTATTCTAAACCAAGCAGGCCCAGGGGAACCGGTACCAGCCAAGTCAAGCGCAGACCCAAGTCAAGCAGAGGCCAGTATGGCCGAGGCCCAGTCCAAGTCATTAAGAAGACTGGCCAGCCTCATTTGAGGGAGAATGCTCATTCCTGAGAAGGTGGAAGCGCTGCTGAGTGCTTGTGCGCTATTGCGAGTTGGCCAAGCGCTAGGAGCCCTGCTGGGCAGCACTATGCTGTAGAGCACAGGCTGCCACAGCCGCATAGTAGAGGTAGTAGTAGAGTATGTGTAGGAGGCAGGTGTGTTCAAAGATATGATCCTCATAGTAGCAGGGACAGTAAGACCTCCAGGGAGGAAGAGAGAGACAGTTAGGTTGACAGATACAAGACTGGAGAGTGTCATGACCTGACCAAACACGGACTGAGAGACAGAGCTGATTTCTGGGTTTTGCCCGTGGACTGAACGCCTTGCTGAGATTCCCGCTTGCTACTAAGTTCTCTAAGTCTGTGTGTGTGCATGTTTGCTGGTCTGCATGTCTGTCTGAGTGTTTGGTGGCTCCCGTTTGTGTGTGACCCGCAAGGGCACTTGTTCGTTTGTTGGGCCCTCAGGGCCGGTACTTACCTGTGGCTGTGACATTGAGGATTGCAGCGGGGGAAAACACTCAAGTGGCGGGGGGAAGAGGCCCGCAGCCCTTGAAGCAGAGGGGAAAAACTCTAGTATCAGGTAGGCCAGTACCACACCCTGAAGAGGTAGATGTGCCGGGTACTCGAGGCCGAGCAGAAGAAGACAAAAGTGGCATTTTTAGAGGCCCAGTAGTTGTAGGCTAGGTCTAGCCGGGTATCAAGGGCCTGTACGGGCAATATCAGAGTCTGCAATGATGTTTCCCTCCGAAAGGGAGGAGGTACTGGTTGCTTGGAAGGCCGAGCGGCCTGGAAGTCACCGCCCAAGAGGCAAGCAGGCTGCTATATCTCCCGGCCTGGTGAAGAGCCCAGTCTCATTGTCGGTGTGCAAGTTTGGCGACACACTGGTTGGAGCGCTGGCTGGAGCAGCGCTAGCACTCAGCAGCGCTGCTGGGGAAGGAGGAAGGACACAGAGGAGGAAGAAGGCCAGGGCTAGGGAGGAGCACCAGAGGTACTTACCTGGCTATGGTGGCAGCCATCTTCATCACCTTGCTGGGTGCTGCAGCAGGAAGGCCCCAGCTGGGGTAGAGCTACACTAAGAAGCTTCGAGGCAGAGTCAGGCATGGCGGCCTGAGCTAGAGCAGCCATAGCTGCTTTGGGTTGTCCTTTGGGCATCTGGGCAAGGCCTAGTAGTCCGCCATAGCCTCGGCCTATGAGAGTGAAGAGTGGGAGATGCGGCCATGGCTATGGTGGACCTCAAGTGATACCTGCAGTAGAAGAGGGATTCGGACATTGATTCTGGTTCAGCCATTCAACATTGTAATTATTTCTCGTGTGAATAAGAGAGGAGGAGATAAGGAGGAAGAGAGAGTTTGGCGAAGAAGAAGAGCTTTATCATTTGTCTATGCTGGTGTACATCATCTTCCTCTTCTTTCTTACCTCTTCTTCTTCTTCTAACCTTCTCTCTCCTCTCAAGTATATTCATTTCTTTCTGCAATTGGACGGCATTGTACTATCTGATGAATGTGTATCTCGAAATTGGCCAGGATCATAACGCGCGCGCGCGCGCGCGCGAGAGAGAGAGAGAGAGAGAGAGAGACATGCTCGATCGAGCGATGCATATGGAGCCAAAGGATCCGCAAAGTGATGAAAAGGACTTGAATGGACTATGCAGCATCTGTGAATGTTACATGCTGCACCTGCACAAGAGGGCCATTTTCCAGGCCCTGCGTCCCTCAGGCTGAAAGCCTGAAAACCTGAAAACCAGGGCCCTCAGACCCCATGTCCATTCAGCTCGAAAGCTTGAAAAACAGGGGCCTACAGACCCTGTGTCGTTTCAGACTAAAAATGGCAGTACCCTTTTCAGCCTGAAATGAAGGGCCATTTTCGGTCTGTTATCAGACTGACCCGCCCTGAAACTCAGGCACCAAACCAGAGTTTTGGGAACAAGCTATTTTTGGCCTGTTCCCACAACAGCTGCATCGCCAGACCCTGGCTCGGTTGGGGATTGGCAAGAGCAGCCTCCTGGACTGCCCGCCCTGCAACTGCCGGCAGTCGGAGGCAGTCAGGAGGTAGGCCGAGGTAGTACATAGGGACTTCCCATGCACTTCACGGGTAGGCAGTCAGCAGTCAGCAGTCTTCAGAGAGAGAGAGAGATTGGGCGGAGGCGGGGGATACTTACCTGCAGCGCCGTTGCCCCAGCTTCGTCTTCGAGGTACCTGCAGCACAGCGCTGTCGGGGTAAAAACCCTGACAAGGGTATTTGCCGGGGGGGTTCAATGTCGGACGCTGTCCGACCTTTTCGCTGAATTGAAAAGAATTAATGAGACTGACGTTGCCAAAAAGTTTATTCAGACCTGACCTATGACTGAGAGACTAAAAGTTTTTTTTCAGGCTTTAGTCCGGACGCGTGTTGGCGTCCGGGAGTAACGGACGTGAATGACAATGTTTTCGCTTTTTGAAGCCGCAGGAACGTGCGGACATGGGAATGTTGAAGTTAAATCTATCCTACCTATTATAGTGTCAGTCGCGCGATTCAGGGCCTAAGTAGGCTAAAAAGAGCGCCTGCGTCGGGTATAGGGCCGCCGTGCACAGGAATAGGAAGTTTTTTTTTTTTATTTCCTCGGCCGTGGGGTTTAGTTTTGAGCCAGGGGGGAGGCCGATAGGCTGCCGCGGACGGGCAGCCTGCTGTGAGGGAAGGCCAGGCAGGCGAGGCCYGTTGGGCCACAGGCAGGAGAGGTGACTGGGCAAGCTCTTCATATAGAAGAGCTGCTAGCCCAGTAGGTTACAGTACCAGACTTTCACCCGGCAGATACCGTGATTAAATCTGAGAAAGCGCTTACACCACTGGGCTGGCTCCTTTTGGAGCTGGCCGCTGTTGTTTGATGCCAGCGCGGTCGGATCTGGCCGTCCGATCGTGAAGATCGCGCGGCCCTGATCAGGCGCGCGAAATTTGGCATGGCCCCTGCGCAAGGAAGACACAAAAAACGAGGAATAATCCAAAAAAAAAAAAATCTAAGCCCCTAAGGGTTTGAACTCGGGTCTGCATCACTAGAGGCGTGGCTGAAAAACCACGCGACTAGTGATGAGACCGTTGGCATAAGCCAACGGTAGAGAGAGAGAAAAAAAAGAAACTAAAACTAAAAACAAAAAGAGATATACAGCGCCATGTGGCGCAATACGAACTGATTGGGGCTTTTCAGCCCCAGCAGAGATGAAAGTTCTTTTCTTTTCTGCTTTTTATTAGATATTGTTTAGATTTTTTCTTTAGGTTTTCTATTTAGATATTCTTTTTTTTTTTCTTTTTTTTTGTTGTCTTTTCCCCTTTAGATTTCCTTTAGATTTTTTTCTCTTTCTTTTTTTTTTTTTCCCTATTGCTCGCACCGAGCGCCCGTTTGTTTCGGACGAACGGGTCGACGGGCTGTTTCGTCGGATTCCCACCGACTCATCAAGGGGCTGCGCCCCAACAGCCCATCTGAGGATGGGCGGATGCATCTGCCACATTAAGTGGCTGTGTGCGGGGGGGGACGTGGGACTTTGCCTTCGATTCTGGTAAGTTCCTTCCTTTTTTTTTTTTTTTTATAGATATCTTTTTAGATTCCTTTCTTTAGAGTTTTTCTCATATTTTAGATTTTTTTCTTTTTTTCCTGTTTTTTGTTGTACTTACCTGGCTGACGCCCGTTCGTTCGAACGAACGGGGAAAGTATGATGTGCCAGACTGTTTCATCGGACTCTCACCGACTCATCAGGAGGATGAACCTCGACAGTCGGTCATTGCGCCCGAACCTGGCGCCGATAGTGACCAGGTACAGGTGCGCGTGAGAGGGAGAGAGGGGAAAGGGGGTTGCCAACCTACCTGTGGTTGGCCCCACGAAGACTTCCAACGATAGGATGAGCAAAAGTGAACGAATCTGCCCTGCAAAGCGGAAATATGCACTACTTCTAGAGAGAAAGGGTGAGGAAGGGAGACTGTACCTGGGAGTGGAGGCGATTACGATGATGAACGGCCAAACTGCCTCATGCCACTTCGAACGACAGGGTGAGTATGCCCGGATGTATCTGCCCCTAGACATGAGGGTGTGCAGTCAGGGTGTTGGTGAGTCATTCCAGGTAAGTGGTTTTTTTTTTTTTTTTTTTGAGTCCTCTTCGTTTCCTCTTTCCCCGTTGCGGCCGTTGA